TTGTGATGATTATTTTGTATAGACACTGCATGCTGTTATATTCCTATGAAGACTGCTGCTGCTTTTGTTTTTGGTGGGCCATGAACTTGTTGATTTTAACTGTGAACTCTGCCACTCCTGAGGTGGACAGAGGTCAATTTTGGCCCATTTTGCATCTTTGGCTGAGCTGTTTCTGGTCTGCCCTACACACACATGATTCAGGAGTCAGCAGGAGGCTCAGGTAGAGTACACACAGAATTTAGTGTCTCCTCCTTGGCTCTCTCCTTTCCAGAGTTCTCCACTCATTCTCTGGTTCTTCTGGGCTCCTTCCTCTGGCACCTTCAACCAGAAAGATGGTGGGATTACTGCTGGGGTCGAAGCACTCACACCAGAGTGAACACACCTGTGGCTATCTTCAGGGCAACATCCCCTCCCCCCCCACAAAGAGATATCCTTCCACGTTGGCATCTTTCCCCAAGTATCAGTTCCTCTCTGAGGTGACTTTTGTCCACTCCCCAGGGCCCTTGGGGAATTGGTTTTTCACATTTTGTCCAGAACTTTTCAGTTGCTATCTGTGGATGGGACTTTTTTATTTTAAAGCGTGTACCCCTCCATTGAAGTCTGTAAGTTGATTCTTGTACCTGGCAGCCTTGCTGAATTCTGTACAGGCATACCACGGAGATAAGTGTGGGATCAGTTGCAGACCACTTCAATAAAGCGCGTCATAATCTTTTTGCTCGTGGAGGGTCTTGCCTCTGATTTGTAAACAAAATGCAGTCTCTGTGAAGTACAATAAAAGAAGGCATGCCTGTGTTAATTAGCATTTGGTCGGACTGCATCTAATAGAAAACCCAGCCCGTGGAAAAGGTCTGAGATGGGGCAGCTGTCCATGCTCAGTTCAGGAAACAGAAAACTCTGCAGGTATGTAACGCAGAGACAGTTTCCACACAGGAATTTCTGTTCACAAAATCATCAGAGGGGTTGGAGGGGAAGGGAGGGAGCCGCCAGGGACTCCAGCTTCTAGGTCGTACCACAAAGGCTGTGGTTTAAAGTCAGGAATCAGTGTGCAAGCCCTGGCATCCAGCCAGCACAGGGGCACACGTTGTCCCTCCGATGGCCAGCGGTCACAGCAGCAGGAAGGTGGCCTCCCCCTCCTGTCCAGGGCAGGTGGGTTCCCACTGGCCCCGCTATCACGGAGGACAGTTTTGCCCCCTTGCTGGCCTGGTGGGACTTGCCTGCCCCAACCACTCCCCCGCAGTCCCCCACCCGACCATTTCGCCCATGGCGATGTCCACACCGTGCTGCCATGAGCCCAGAACTCTCTCGAAAGAAGCCACATGGTGGCTGATGCTCTAGGAACCACGTCCTGGCTGAGTGGCCACCACCCAGAATCTGCTGACCTCGGGCTTGGCGGGGTGGCCTGTGGAGACCCCGCCATGACACCACTGGGAGACCACACCCTGGCCATGCTGTGTAGGTTTGGCCACTCACTGAGCCTCAGTTTCTCTACCTGAGAAATGAGAAAGAGCCCGTGAAATAAGGCCTTGGCCCCCGACACATGCCTGGTACGTGACAGTCAGCCTGCCCAGAGCTCCCACCCATGCCCACCAAGGGATGGGCCCAAGCAGCTCTCCACCCCGCATCCCTCCTCCCCAGGCGGCTCGCAGGGTCCCCGCCCACACATTCCTGAGGCTTGAGCAGCGCTGCTCCCAGCTACACCGGTAAGGAGGACTCGTTTGTTTCCCTGACAGACCAGAGAGGCTGCTGGCTTCTTGACCATCCACTTCCCAGGTGAGGAAACCAAGGCAGAGGAGGCCCAGGTTTGATCCATTACCCTGGAATGTCAGAGTCACCACGGGCAGGGCCGCCCGGATCCTGGGGAAGGGCCTGGGTGTAGCAGGGTTTTTTTTTCCAGGTATCTCCGGGTACCCAGTCCAGTGTCCAGGCTCACAAGGGGCTGACCACAGTCTCATGTACGGGGATCTGGGAGTGGACAGTGGCCTTGTCAGGGTCTGGGTCATATGCGTGGGCATGCCTGGGGAGGTGAGGGTGGGGACACCTCCATGAGCACCCCTTGGTACCTCTAGCCAAGCAGCTCTGGGTGGGAGCAGGGATTAGGCCGAGGCTGGTACTGGGACCTACCCAGGAGGGGGCCCTGGCCAGCCCCAAACAAGCAAGTTGGGGGGAGGTGGGGCAGCCCCTGCCTCTGCCCTCATGGATGCCCCCTCCTTAGTCCTCATTGCACTTGGGGAGCAGTGAGGACCCCACCCTACCTCCTGCACTTCACTCAGAGGGCGGTGCTGTCAGGGTCAGCTCTGCCTTAGCACCAGCTGCTCCTGACATGTTGTGTGACCCGGGGCCAGCCGCACAGCACCTCTGTATCTGAGACCTGTCCTAAGCCCATAACCCGCTTCCCTGCCTGCCCTCACCAGAGGGGCCTGAGGTGGGTAGGGAATGTAGTCTGACTTCATTTTATATCATTTGAGGTCCAGACCTTGGGGACTGAGGTTGGGCTGGGGTGGGAGATTTTGCAGGTGGGTGGGACAGGTGGAGCAGGAGGGGGCCTGGGCCGGTGTCCTGCAGCTGAGCACCTGCCAGAGGCTGTGAGCTCATGACTCTCAGGCTAGGGGAAGCACCTGGCAATTCCTCCATTACAGACACAGCCACCTCTATCTTACACTCCACTCTGAGGAGCTTGTGGTCCACTCAGACACCAGACCCTGCCTGGGGAATACAGGTGGATGGCTGTCGCCCTGGTAGCAGGCCCCACAGGGCCTGAATCGTCCCTGTTCCAGGGTGTGCCAGCTTTTGAGAAGGGCCCAGCATGCAGTAGGTACTCAGAGAGTGTGCAGGTGGCTAATGAGTGACAGGTGACCAGGTGGATGCTGGTCTTGAAGGACTCAGGGTCAGAGATGGGACCATGCCCGGTGCCTATGCTGCCCTGCCCCCACTGGAACCCACTAAACTGTTGGGTGATTGTTTCCACATCCTACATAAAGACACAAGCCCTGGACTGGCTAAAACACCATGACTCCTGCAGGTGGCATTCAGCCAATTTGGAAGCTGCAGCCCTAAGACCGCTGAAGTTTTTTTGTGGCCCCAACCTGGTTTTGGGGATAAGATGCTGATTCCAGGGCCCATGGTAGCTGCAAAGAGGCGCTCCGGGAGCCCCCACCTGCGGTGCTGAGGGCCTCTGGTTACATGGGGCTGGGTGGGGGCTGAGGGGAGACGCAGTGGAAGGCGTGTAGCTCTTGCCTGGCCCTGCCCACTGCCCATTTTCTGGTCTGGGGCCCGGTTGCGGAGGGGAGAGGGCTCCCTGGGGCCTTGCCACGCCCCAGGACACTCCCTGCAGGCCAGCTCTTTGTTCACTGAAAGGGCTTGCTGAAACATCAGCTTGCCCCCCTCCGTTTCTGAGCCAGGGGTGGGGCTGACACAGGCCTGTACGAGGGTGTGGGGGAGGGGATGGCTCTGCTCCCCAGCCTCCTGCTCTGGGAGGGGTGAGTGAGAAGGTGGCGTGGTCTCCTGCAGGCCCCACTCTACCTCAGGACAACCCTCCCCACCCACCTCCCTACCCTACATTGGACCCCACTTCAGAAAGTGCACGGGATATTGCACCCCCCACAGGAATGCCCACCCACCTACTGCCCCACCCAAGGGGCTAGCAGGTGGGAAAGGGTGTCACCCTCTGGCACCCACCCAGGCCTCTGTTTCCAGAGAGATTTCAGAAGGGAAACCAAGAGGCGCGACCGGCCTTGTTTACCTGGCAGGCCCTGGGTTTGCACAAAGCCCAGCACCTGTGACAGGGTGTGGAGGGGTAGATGGCCGTGCCCTAGGTTGCGGGGGTGGGGGGGA